CCCGCCCGGGGCGAGCGGGGCCGGCTGGGCGCCGCCGCCGATGCTCGAGCTGCGCGCTCGCCCTGGGAGCTTCGTGGAGCCGGAGCGAGAAGACGCCGAAGCGGGTGGGCTCCTTGCGGGAACCGCGAGGGGCTGTAAAGGTGACACAGGGCAGGGGCCCGGCCGCTGGAGGCGGGGCGGAGCCGGCAGGAGACGGTCATTAGGGAGGTGACCGCTGACCGCGCGTGACCCTCCGCGCGCTTTTGAAAGTGATCTGCCCCAATTCAGATGAGGTGTAAGTGGGAAACACGCACACTGGATTTGGAAGGCTGCGAATGAAAAAATATATAAAACATCTCAACGATGGTGTATGAATCACGTGGTTGTTATGACAGTTTCATTTATGTCGTCTGTTTTTCTCGTGTAGCAATAAGACAATTTTATTTTGTTGTACTTTATTTTGTGATCCTGGAGGGGGAACCTGGGCCTTATGCAAGCCGTCCACCACGAGCTGCCTCCCCAGCCCCGAGCATGCTGAATCACACACAAAGGCCTGTATCTGTGCTAAGCATCTGTCATTTGTGCCCAACAGCATGTTTGCTTTGGCTTGATTGTTTTGTTTGTTTGTTTGTTGAGACAGGGTCTTACTGTGCAGTTCATGCTGGCCTGTAACTCACTAGGTAGCCCAGGTTGGCCTCCAACTCCCTGCAATCCTCCTGCCTCAGCCTCCGGAGTGCTGGGATTACAAGTGTGCACCACCAGGCCCGGCTACAGCATGCTCACTTCATGACAGAGTACCAGGATGGACAAGGAGTTGGGGGATGCCGCCAGCCCCGCTGCTGTCTTACAAGGTGCTTGGAGTACTGAGTGAGTGATGTCAAGTCATGTAAAGAAGCGGAAGAGAAGGCAGCTGCTCGGACATGCTGAGAAATGGAGCTGTATCAGAGGACCCGGGGGCTCCCTGAGGAAGGCTTTTCCCAGGGAGTGACAGGTGCTCTGCCTGGCGTGCACAGAGTCCCCCTCTGTGTCCTTCAGTTCTGAGCTCAGCACAGCTTTATGACCTCCCCTCTGAGGTGGGCCCCGCCCTCTGCGAGGAAGAGGCCCATGATGTTCACATAAGTATTTGTAGCATTGAAGTTCACGGAAGCAGGAACCCGCTTTGTCTGGGCCGTCACTACATTCCCATCATCTAAAAGTGTCTTATAGGGAGCGAGATCTTTTGCAACTGGGCAGGGGACCAAGAGCTGGAGGAGAGATGGGGAGGAATGTGAAAAGAATCAAGATGCGCTTCATGGGGACCAACTCCCGACAGTGAATGTAACGGTTACCGCAAACGTGGACGCATAAAAGTACATTTAAAAAGGAAATATCACAAACTCTTTAAAAAAGTAAAGTGTTCGGCCGTATGGTGGGACAGGTGTTTTGTTTTGGTTTATTTATTTTGAGGTGCTAAAGCTCAGACCCAGGGCCTTGTGCGTGCTGGGCAGGCGCTGGCCTCTGAGCTATAACCCTGGCAGGATAGTTGTTTTACAGAGATCCCTGGCAGCAAGAAGAGAATGGATTTCTAGAGGTGAGACAGATAGGGAATCACGGAAACGAAGCCCACTTTGAAGGACTAGAAGGCCAGTTTTTACTGAGCTGTGTTCAGAGTGGACAGCATGCCTGGTGCTCAGTACACAAGTCAAATATACCATCCTGGACTTTTCGGGAATGAGAAAAGAACAAATATCTGCTCATCATGCTTGTTCAGTGACAGAATACAAAGATGGATAAGGGACAGGATGCAGCCAGCCTGGGTGGATTCCCAGTTTCCCAGGGCCACAGCCTGCTCATTAGCTTTTCCTGCGCTGCCTTACTTCTTTCCCCATCTCTCCGCCCCGCCCCTACCTGTGTTTTGGGTTCACCTTCCAAATAAACTGTTTGCTTCTGTCAGAACCCAGCCTAAGTGACAGACCAAGAAAAAGATTAGAGAGAAATGAGTGTCAGGGGCAAACACACCTCCGGTAGTGTCAAGCTGAAAACCAAGCCTTCATGCAACAGGGGGCCACTGGGGGACGTCTCCTATGCAGACTGTCGCATGTCTGACAGCTAAAGTCTGGGGATCAGTCAGGTCATTCATGAGGAAACGTATGTGTGCAGCGGGGATGATCCCAGAGCAGACAAGCGGGGAATGTGGAGTTTGGGAAGAAAAGGTAAAGGCCGGGCAGGTTCACAAGGGAAGGGCAAAAAGAAACAGGTCAAGGTTGGAGGTGGCACTTCAGGACTGGAGCTTTAGGGTTTAGGCAGTCCCTTAAGAATTCCCATGTCCTGCTGCTGATTCTGAAGCTCCTGCTCAGATATGCTTCAGTAGCACAGGCTTTGAGTAAGTCATGCCGGAGACTTAGACTGGTGTTACTTGTCAGTTCATCTGTCCTTAATCTTCTCAACAAAATCTGTCTGCTATCCCTCTGCTCGCTTGAAGCCATGTAGGTCCTCTGTCATAGCCCAGTGGCCACGCACATCCCTCCCAATTGTCACCCACTGCCTTTCCTGCTGGTTTTCTTTACAGCAGCTAACTGGGGACAGGAAGTAGTTGCTATTTAGCTTTGCTTCCTCCCACCAAATGGTGGGCTGAGGAGTTCAGGCCAGAAACCAGATAGTGGCAGATCTTACCGGGAGCCTGCTGGGATGAAACATACACACATACACACATAGAAAACAAATAGGCACGCACAAAGAATAATTTATCAAGGCCCTCAAATATCTGCTCATGCCTGTTTCGGTGTGTTTTTGTGTATTTGAATGCAGGTGTTTGGACAGAAATTGGTTTGCTGTATCTTTCTTTTTACTGTGGTCCAAATCAAATGATAGTTTAACCTTCACTTTATCAAGTTCATGCTACCATATCTGTTGCTTTCTCTCTGCCTCTCCCTCGCTCTCTCTCCCCTTTCCTGCGTTCTCCATTCAGATCTCTGTGATTTAAAAAGAACGTATGGAGAAGGGCGTTTGGAGGACTGGCTGATTGGATAATTCTGCTGATAACCATTTATACTTTTAACTTTTGTTAAAGTGTGGCACTGTTTAAAAAAAAAGTGTGGCCCTGTTGCCGACCCTGGGACAGGAGGAAGGGAAGAATGTGAGCAGCTGCCAGCCCTCAAATATGTCCCAACCAACTTTGGGCTTCTCCATCTCCTCTGCATTGCCTGGCAGTGGGCTAAAGACTGTTGCTCCTCGCTCATTAAATCCTGGAATGATGTCTTAGTCACTTTACTAGTGGCTGAGACACAATACCCAACACCCACAGCTTAAAGGAGGAGACACCTATGTAGCTCACGATTTCAGAAGTTTCCGTCCATGGTTGGCAGGCTCAAATGCAGAAAGACCATGGTGGAAGAGTCTGGGCAGAAGAAAGTTGTTTATGTCTTGCTGGTCAAGAAGCAGAGAAGGGAGGAACCAAAGTGAAAGACACACCCCTGTAGGTCACAACCCCAGTGACCCAGCTAACAGCCAGTCAGCTCTAGTGCTGCCATGAGCCAGTCACCTTCCAAACACCCTGCCACTGCACACAGAAGTATTGGGGGGGTCATCCTTCATCTAAACCATAACAAGTGATAAAACTCATTGTCTCTTCTCCCCTCTGAATAAACTGGTATCTGCAGTTGATGATCTTTGTGGATATACGAACAAATAGAGCAAATAAAGGCAACAGAACAGAATGTTTTTTCTCTTTTTATTTGCTAGTCTCAAATTAAGCAAACCGGGATGTAATACAACTTGATTACTAAAACATAAATAGTTGCGCTTACTCTAATTCCGCAGGCTTTTCTGCAAGGCACCAGCGTAGGAAGAACACAGCTAGCCTGGGTGTCGCGTATAACATAAAAAGTAAGACAGATCTATTTGGCGCTTGAGCTTACATTCTAATACAGAAAGTTAACCATTTCAAGTTCATAGATCCTAAAAATGAACAAATCAAGGCACAAAGCATTTTAAAAACTGAGGGTTTTGGAGGCAAGGATCTCAGCTGTGGAAGTAACAATGGAGTTCAGCTAAGGACGCTAGACATGAACTATGTCAGTGGTTCTCACAGTGGTATATTAGAAAGTGACAGGTCGTGGCTGGCTTCATGATAACTGAGGACTATACCGTCACCGAATAGATGCAGCCAGAGATCACAGATGTCCTACAGCGTGTGGATCGGTCCCACACAACGAAGAATTATTCTGTACCCTGTTCGACTGTCTAATGTCCTGCTGGACATTTAGGTAGGACCTACAACTCGTCTGAGAGAATAAAATCAATTCCTTTGTTTCCTCTGAGACAATTTGTAATTCGTCCTATTCTTATTTCAGTTAAGGTGATTTCGCCCATTCCTTTACCATAGACAGATAAGGCATGTGGTCTGTTAGGACTTACCCTACAGCTGGTTTTCTTTCTATTACACATACCTCTAGTATTTCATTGTTCTGTGCTATAGGCAATAGCTCCTGATCGACTCTTACGCCCAAAACTATGCATTGTAAGAGTAAACATCTGTCTGTGTCATGGCTTGTATAGCGTAGTCATGCCTGAGCATTTATATAGTAAAATGCATTTTACTCTCATTACAAAGTTTGTCCCCATTACAATAGAACTAGAACAGTCAATTAATTTTTTAAAGAAATTCCTGTATATAAGTAGATGATATTATCTATGAATCATCTCAGGATAGGAAGAGGATGACAGTATAAAACACCTGCTCTGAAAAGGATGACGAGGCCTGATAGCGTCTGTGGTTGCCATGATTGGGGCTGAAGGCAGAAGCGCTGCTAGCATTTAGCATGTGAGAGCCAGGGGCACTGGACAACTGCAATACATTGGACAGCTTCTCACAATAAGAAATTATTCTGCGCCCTATACGAATCTTGAATGTCTCACCTGACATTCATGTAAGACACAAAGCTCGTCTGCAGGAATGTATTTCCTCGGTTTTTTTTGTTTCGGAATCTGTACATTCTCCTACATAGTACTGTATTTCAATGAAGGTTATTTCGTTCCTTCTCCTGTACACACAGAAGTGTTATATGCAAGGAAGTGGTTGTATCACTAGTCCGTATGCTAGTGCCCACTCATTTCCCTGCTTTATTCATTTTCCCATGCTTCTCTATAAACAGCTTCTGATCTACTTCCAAGTTTACATTCATTATCAGGAGGTGTAAGCATTTGACTTCTTCATGTCTTATAGTATTGTGATATTGTACCTAAGTTATGTACCTTTTATTTCCCTTTTATGTTAATATTAGTTGGTTTAATCTTTTAATTTACTCCTAGAATCATGTATGCATAGGGCATATTAGCTTTTTCTTTTTCTTTTTTTTTTTTTTTGAGACAAGGTCTCGCTATGCAGTTCAGGCTGGCCGTGAGCTCACTTGGTAGCCCAGGTTGGTCTCAAACTCACAACAATCCTCCTGTCTCAGCCTCCCGAGTGCTGGGATTACACCACGCCCGGCCATATTAGCTTTTAATTGCATTTTGAGGATAATAAAGCATGTCTTGCAAAAGTATTTGTTATTTAAAAAAAAAAAAAGCAGACGTGCTCACTGAGAACCACTGAACTAGGTAAGAAGGGGACCAAGAACTACTAGGAAGCCAAGCACATTGTACAGAAGAAAATAAATGACAAAAAAGTAGGGAAAGGAAAGATCCTTTCAGGGCTGTGATCATGGTTTTAAACTTTATCCAAAAGATGCGATCCAAAGCCGGGCATGGTGGCGCAGGCCTGTAATCCCAGGCGCAGGCCTGTAATCGGGAGGCTGAGACAGGAGGATCATTGCAAGTTCGAGACCAGCCTGGGCTACAGAGTGAGCTCAAGGCCAGCCTGAGCTGCATAGCAAGACCCTGTCTCAAAAAGACCAAAAAATAAAAAATAAAAAAAATGCGATCCGGGTTGGGTTGGCAATCCCATTAAGTAAAATTTTAAATTGCCATTAAGGAGCAAACAGATTAGAAGGGAACATGGAAATGTGCAAGAGGTAAAACTGCATTTGGGAATGACTCCAACGTGTGAGGAGCCCCAGCGACTGCAGTTCTGCTTGAACACAATGGATCCAGTGATTGTTTTTACTCAGGCTACGAACGGATTCCTCTGAGGGAGCAGATAAAGATTTCCATTTTGGACCGCAGGTCCCTGCAAAATATCCAGCTTGAGGTGTTTCCTGGGCAGCCAGCAAGAGCTGCATACATTACACCTCTACAGCGCAAGGGTTAAAGTCAAGAGGTGGAAACCCCTGGGGGGGGGGAAAAATGAATAAGAAGAATCATTTGTGGCAAGCTCCCAGAAAACAACCATACTCTAAAAAAGCCGACATTTGTTACTGATGGAGAACTGTGAACCTTTCTGTACCGTCCTAAAATCTGACTAATATAAAAATCAACTCTAATGCCAGTGAATTATTTGTAACATGTCTGCTAGAAGGAACTCTAGTGGGAAATTTTGGCCACAGGAACGGAATGTTGAAAAAGGAAAATTAGAAGGAAAAATCTCATTCACAGGAAGGCAGGAAGGCAGTATTGGCCCGGGCACTTCAATAGCTGTAAAAACTATGACCATTCCACAGAATCCACTATATTTACACAAATAAATCCCTAGCAGGCATGAGGCCTGTTTGGGACATTGTTCCCTTTGTTCTAAATGTGTGCTCACCAGAAAGCAAATCACACCTCCATCAGAGGCCCATCCCCTTGTGGGATGGCCCTGCTACTAATTTCTTGAGAGCCGCATCTACCATGCAAACGACCACAATAGCACTTGAATGTATGTTTATATGACTCTTACTACTACAGCTCATTTCTCCTAAAATATATACACTTTCCTGAAAGCCTGACCTGGGGGGGAAGCTTTCTCTGTAATTAGGGTAATTAGAACATACATCTCTATTTTGCCATAATTATTTAAAGAATCCAACTTCAGTTGGAGGCCTTTCTGACTGCATTCCAGAAAGAGCCAACTCCGTGGGGTCTGTCTCGTAACTAAATGTAGAAACAGACATAGGCTCTCAAATCATCACATGATAAGATGCAGCACTGCGGTTATGTCTATAACAGCGTTTATAGCTACCCTTCCTACTTTTCTTCTTAGCATATCCCTACACATTTTTTCCCAGCTTTCACAGTCTTCCACCCAAGGCTGTACCATCTTTTGTCCTTATTTTAGCAGGCAGTATTAGCTTACTTTCCAAGTTTCCAAATTGATTTTTTTTTCAATCGAACCAAAACAAAGCCATGTTACCCAGTAAACTCAAAGAAAGAGTAAATGAGAGAAGATGGTTGGTATACGTATAGGAAATTTAGAAACCAGCCTGGACCAGTTACAGCTAAGACAGCGCAAACTTTCCAAAACATTGGAGTTATTAGGAGAGCTTTTAAAAAATACTACTGCCTGGCTTTCACTCCAAGGTGTGATTTAACTGGGAAGTGTACAACCAGGGCATTGGAATTTTTGTACAGCAAAGCTTGGGAATGACTGACGTAAGACATTAGATAACTTAGAAAACAGAAAAGGGTAACCATTATCTAGAGCAATTTGGTCCTCTATGCAGGGAAAATGGTTATCGCATCCTGGATAATGCTGCCTTCATCATCTCTAGCTAATCACACAGGCTTTCTCTTTGTCTTTGTCTTTCTCTTTGTCTATTTCAGAATATTCAATCAGGTATGCTGGGTAAATCTGATCCTTCTGGAAGATGACAAAAACTGAGGGATTCAGCATTGTATCCACACAGCTGTTGTACGGCGGAGGAGGGTTCACGTACATCATGTTTCCCTCAATAAAATCTCCCGCCAAGACGCGGGCCACGAACATAACGATATTTTTGGCATCGTAGAGGGAATTTTTGTGGGAATAGATGGCTTCCTTTGAGAAGTGATTTCCTAGAAACAATCAGAAAAAGAAAAAGCTTGAGAATTATGATAAAAGCATTATTATGGTTTATAAGATTACTCACAGACTCAGATGACAAAGCAGACTAAGCATGTGACCGTAGATCTCCTCTGTACTTAAAAAATGTGTACACAAGTACACGTCACTGATGGAGACACGCCCATGGAAATGGCGGGGACACACAGCAAGCCCCTGGGTACTGATCATGCGGTGACACTGCAGTGGCACCGTCTGTGTGACGTGAGCAGAAGTTGAATAAGTTAAGTTGGACTGACGTGCCAAAGATGTTTCAGAGCAGAGGCCACTTTACAGTGAACACATTTTAAGGCACAAAGGTCACTGACTACTGATGGAAGGTCCCAGGAAATGCCACAGGGAAGGATGGGCGAGGAACTGACCCTCACCAAGCTTTCCAGGCAGCCGGTGTGTAATCCTTTAACCTCAGAACACCCCAGATAACCAGGAAGCTTTCTGTAGCCGGCAGTTACACAAGTTGCTGCCTATGGAAGTTTCCTATTTACTCATTGTTCTCACTGTCAGATGCTTTTCTGACATTTGAAAGAAAATGCAACATCTAATTTCTCCATAAAAATCAATATGTAAAATGAATTCTTTTTATTTGTGACAACTGTGTAATACATTTTCCATTTATTGTGTTTGTTATCATCTTTTTCATAGATGATTAAACTCCAGAAACATGGCTTATCTTGAATAGATGCGATACTGGGTATTCTGGCTAAAAGATGTGGAACTGTATTTGAAGCAAAGCAAGAAAGCGCTGGTTTGAATGTTGAATATCCCCCGTGGGTTTAAACCCTTAAGGCTTGGTTCCTGGAGTGCAGAGGTGGAAGCATCTTGGAGACAGAGCCTAGGGGAGCCTCTTGGGTGATGGGGGGCGGGGACTGTGGCACCCCCCCACCCCCTCTCTGCACTGTTGCTGGAGACATGATTGTTTCAACACCAGTCACCACTCTCACCAGACCGAAGCCAACGCAGGCGCCACACTTTTGAACTTCCAAAACTGTACACTAAATAAACCTTCTCTTGTTTAGTTACCCAGGGAATTTCCCTGCCGTAATCCAAAGCGGACTGCAACACTAGCTGACTCTCAGGTCCACTCCCATTCCTTTTCCCCAGACCGTTAGCAGCTTGGTGGAAAAGTTTTCACCAGTGTTCCTATACATTTCACGTACATCTATATGCACACATATTCTGGTGTCATGTTATAGTAACTTATTTGTTCATGGATAGTATTATACTATATGAACAGTTCTACATATGAGAAACTGACAGGTTTAGATTTCACATATCACGTGTCACTTAAGATGGTTACCCCGGGGGTGCTGGGGATCTAGCTCAGCAGCACAGCGCCTGCCTGGCAAGCACAAGGTCGTGAGTTCAATTCCTGGTACCAGAGGGGGAAAAAAAAAAAAAGATGGCTACCCCACAGCTTTCAAGTACATCCGAAAAGTTTCAGTAATATATATAGATAGATAGATAGATATAGATATAGACATAGATATAGATATATATATTTTTTTTTGGTTTTTGGTTTTTGGTTTTTTTCCGGTACTGGGAATCGAACTCACTACCTTGCATTTGCCAGGCATGTGTTGTGCCACTGAGCTAAATCCCAGCCCCCTTCAGTAACCTATTTAAACTCTATAAACTGGGGCTGGGGATATAGCTCAGTGGCATAAGTGCCTGCCTGGCAAGCGTAAGGTCATGCATGAGTTTGATCCCCGGTACCGCAAAAATAAATAAATAAATAAATAAACTCTATAAACGTAGAAGTTCTCATATCATTCCACAGCTTAAAACCTTTCATTAACTCCGGAATCCTCATGGTCAAGCCTGAATGCTTTACTGTTTGACTATACACTGTGGGGCTCATCCCTCACTGTCTACACACTGATCCGTGAGGTGGGTGAGGCCCCTCACATCCCGTTCTCGGGAGCATTTCTGGAGTGGGGTTACAGCCGCCCTGTTCCTCTACGGCAGCTGTACATTTTCATCATTTCATTATTTATGGAAAAGTATGTGTTTGGGCCCGTGTCTAACTTGTTCACCGCTGTGTGTCCAGTATCCAGTGTACTCAAAATATTAGCTGAATGACTAATTTCTTGCTTTTGGAGACTGTATATAAATTTAATCTTACTTCTGAGCTGGACCCCACTAAACTGTTATTTACTTACTAGATGTGAACAATTCTGCCTTGCATTTCTTTGGCTGCTTGTGTTTTTAAGAGTTGCATGCAGGAGTTTAAGAGCAAAAAGAAACAGGTGTGAAGGTTGTGTGGGCCCACTTGTGCGACTGCAAGTCCCAGGTGGCCCAGTGCAGCTGAGAAGGGGAGAGGCCTCCAATAGCACAGATTAGGCTCAGACAGAGCCATGGCCAGTGACTAGCAGTGGCAGGCGGTGTTGCCAACAGGTAGAACAGTCTGCAAGCAAAAGATGGGAGCCCTGCTAAGGCCCAGCTCCTGAGCCACGCTAAGGCCCAGGTCAGCCGGGCCATGCTAATCTTCACATTTATGTTACTGCGAGCTTAATTTCTCGCCATGACTACTAAACATGGACATGCTAGTGGACACAAAATGATTACATACACCTCTTAATTGAAGCATGTACAGACCTTTTCCATATTTGTTTTCGTGAGTTCCATGTGAGGTCCAGACAAAATTATTCGCACAGATGGAATCCACTTGGGTGCGGCTTGCTGCATAAAATAGAAGTCTTTCCTTTTTCTCTGTCATCATCAGTCGCCTCCTAATACAGGAAATGTGAGACTGAACACCAAGAACATTCCTCTCCCACGCTAGTTGATAACACTGATCCCAACTAAAGTTTAAGCATCTTAAAATTCTCTTGCATCTGCTTTCAAAATGGAAAATTTAAAACCACAACTGTAAAGTAATAAATTTATGAAAACATTTAAGTTATAGAAATAGAATTATCAAAATAATCCTTCCAGGCTGGGCGTGATGGTGCACGCCTGTAACCCCAGCACTCAACAGGCTGAGGCAGGAGGATCGTTGCGAGTTGGAGACCAGCCTAGGCTACAAAATGAGTCCAAGACCAGTCTGAACTGCACAGCGAGACCTTGTCTCAAAAAGACAAACAAACAAAAAAACAAAATAATCCTTCCAAATATTACGTAAGGGAATCAGATAATGTGGTCACCAACCTTTCAAAACAATTGAGGAGCTCTGGATTGTGGATCTTCTTTATCTTTTCAATCTTGAAATTTTTCATAGACTCTTTAAAATAATCCCTTATTGAGGCATATTCCAGAGACTCGTGACTGAGATCTAGCAACTAAAAAAGTTTTAAAAATACATAAATCAGAAACAGGAAACATTGAAAGCATGCTATGCCCACATGCATGGGCCCCCTATGCCATGAGTATCATTGCCAGTTCTCAGACAGGAAGTGGGATAGTCTGACTTCTGTCTGTCCACATCTGCCCATTCGTCCCAGTAATGAACCCAACAGGCAGCGGGCCTGTCCATTTAGGGCAACTTAACGCTAACAAAGCATTATGCAAAAGGAGGTCCCCTGCAGTGTCAGCTGAATACAGTGATGGACAAGCTTCTTGCCTAAAGGTCCAAAACCAGTGCAGCGCAGAGGAACTGGATGTCCCCATGGATGCTAAGCAGATTGACCTGCACAGAAATCGGAGTGCGATGTGGAAGCTAAATGGCCTAGCAATCGTCTTGCCCCAACTGGGGCAGGAGATAAAGGGAGCACAGTGAGCCAAGTCACGTTTACTCTCACCCGTGAAGTAGAGATACAGGCCTCTGTCCCTCAGGGTTGTCCTGAGGGAGCTGCTCAGGTGCAGCCAGGTGCAGCCGGGTGCAGCCGGGTGCAGCCGAACCCACATTATCACTGCCTTTGATGGCAGAGTTATGCGGAAGCGGTTCATTCATTCCAACAAACAAACATTTGTACCAATGTACTTTTTCCCACCCTTAAAGGATTCCCCCACCAATCAAGTGAAAGCCAAGTACCTTGAATCCCTTCGCGGGGAGAGAGGAGACATTCCTCTGAGGAGCAAATGTTGAGGCGGCAGCCTTTGGCGGGGTCTGCACAGGCTGACTGGAAGCGGAGAACCGCACCCGCGGAGGACTGCAGAGAAAGACATTTCCATTGCTCCCTGCTCCCTATGCCCAAGCAATTTCCCGACCCTGACTTTTGCCCAGGAAGCCAAGGTTTCCTCCTAGAGAAACCCACTGCTTATTTCTGTATTTTTTCTCTCGACCATCCCCTTGCACCATCCTGGTACTGATGTGCCCATAGTCATGCTTTTTAAAAATGCGGTAACTCTTCACAGACCTGAAGGTTTAACTCTCTGCTTCACTTGTGGAGGGTCTAATCTGTTACCACGTAGCAAGCGTGCTTTTCAGCTGTTTGTGGAATAATAAGACATCTTACTAGGGATATGGACGGAAGAAATTGCCTTTTCCTGTATGGTGTGAACTGTAATTTCAGGGTAGCTATATATGAGGAAGAATTCTTTTTAGATGAATCACAGCAAATAATGGCGACAGAATCAAGAGAATTAGAAAACCACCATTTTGTAACACTTAGTAACATACTGAACCTAAACAGTGATCAGCAATAGATACTGTGACCATGAAGTGACAGATCAGCTGAGGACTGGAGGAGTCAGACCGGAATGGCAGAGGCCACACCTTAATCTGCATCATTAACACTCGGACAACTGGATGACCGGAAGTATATCCGTTACATAGTATTCTTGACCAAAAACTGAATATAATCAGTTCTCCAAATTATATCATCAGTTTACGGAAATTACCCATTACATGGTCCCACAAGGATAAAGTTTGCTCATGTTGAAACTGGGAAATTCTATAGGTTAAATCACTCGGTTTCTTTTAAAAAAATATGAAAAAAGTAAAGGAAGGAAACTAATACGTTAAAAGTCGAGACAGATCAAATGCAACACACAGATCCTATTTAGATACTGACTAGAGTAAGTCAGCTCTGAAGAGTCATTTATAAGACAATGAAAGAACAGCATGAACTGGGTATAAGATGATAGAAAGGAATTATTGCCACTTTTCTTAGGTGGGTTAAGGGTATTGAATAACAGTTTTTATACTCCGTATCTGCTAAAGACACCTAAATTTGTTACAGAGAAATTGCACACGTGTGGGATGCACATAAAAATATCCCAACAGAGGAAAAAAATTAGAGTTTATAGAATAGAAGAAACAAGATGGTAAAATATTGACAGACGAAGTTGGATATTAGCTACGTAAGAGTTTATCATATAACCCCCTCTACTGTGGTTGATGTTTGACATTTACCATGATCAAAGCAATTCCACTTAAAAAATAAATTCCTTCAGGAACAAACTATTTAAAGATCCCCTTGTAAAATGAAGGCTCTTTCGGAATGAGAAAGATTGGCCCTGTTTTATCTGTATTTTATATTTGGATTTCCCTCAAGAGCGTAATGTTAAGTGAAATAAATGAGACACACAAGCTTAAATATTGCATGGTTCTTCTTTTATGAGAAACCCAAAGCATAAATAAATCAAAGTGTAAAATAAACAGTAGATAATAGGAACTAGGCAGACAGATCTTTTCCAAATGGGAAGGGGTCCAAGAGGTGGAGGGAAAGGAAAGGGGATGTAATAAAGAAAGAAGATACATTAATGTACACGCACCAACTCTGCGTGAGGAATGCAAGCACTACGTACTGCAAACATGGGCTAATAAACATTTTTAGAAAGAAACAAACAGCAGCTGTGTCTCCTCTGGGGTAGGAGCAGCAGCATGACAGCTCATTTCTTGCACAACCCCCGTGGACGTTCTTTCTCAATTCATTTTCCTGCACAGCTTTCTACTTCAGATCACTGTATGCCACACACTATACTAATTACTTCAAGAGCTTTGCGGGCATATAACTGAGCGCAGAAGAGGACAGAAAGGATTTTGCTAGGGGTGACATTTGCGTGACCACTACAGTCATCAGTTAAGGATGTTACACCTTCTGAGAAATGCATTGTTAGATTAGTTTGTTCTGTGATGCCCACAGACTGGACTTACACAAGCCTCAGTGTATAGCATACTACATACCCAGCTGTACGGGGTCCCCAGAACGTCACTATGTAGCACACAACTGTACTACAGGCTATTAGAATGGAGTGAATGAACCAAGGGAGTTCCAAGTCTGGCTAGAGGGCAAAGGAGGGATCAAAGAGTCTCCAGTAAGGAGCAGTGGCATTAGAGCTGGGTTTTAAAAGTTGCTGGATTCAGCCAGGCATGGTGGTGCACGCCTGTAATCCCAGCCCGCAGGAGGATCATTGCGAGTTCGAGGCCAGACTAGGCTACAAAGTGAGCTCAAGGCCAGCCTGAACTGCATAGTGAGACCCTATCTCAAAAAGACCAAAAAAAAAAAAAAAAAGAAAGAAAAAGAAAAAGATGCTGGATTCCTAAGAATAATGGCCAGGAATGCTCCTGGAAGGCAGGGATGAGCTGGGCAGCTGTGACAGACATAAGTGACTGAGGCAGGGGATGGATGAACTACAGGACATATTAGAAATACTCCAGTTTCTTCTCCTTGAAATAAATGTGTACAGAAAGAAACACCCAAGATGGAGACAAGAAAGGCAGCAACCCTTCTAGTTTCTGCTGTCCAGAAAGGTGAGGGTATGGTCTAGTTGAGGTTATCAGGGTGTGTGTACATGAACTGTTAAAAAACCCAAATTATTAACCTTCTAAAAATACAAAGGGTGAGGCTGGGGATTTAGCTCAGCGGCACAGCGCCTGCCTGGCAAGCGCAACGTCATGAGTTTGATTCCTGGTACCGGAAAAAAACCAAAAAATAAAAAATAAAAATAAAAATACGAAGGGTGCTGCCTTACGGAAATAGTTTAAGGAAAATCTTGCCAAGACATCTTTTTTTTTTTTTTTTTTTGGTTTTTCTCCGGTACCAGGAACCGAGCTTACGACCTTGCACTTGCCAGGCAGGCGCTTTTGCCGCTGAGCTAAATCCCCAGCCCTTGCCAAGACATCTTATAAGAGCCACTGTAGTAAGAATCAGCTGAGAGGATCCCATTAGTTGCCTGAAGCAAACAGCACCTCAGGGCCTCTTTCTCTGCCCACTCCCACCCAACACTTGTCAGGAACCAAACCACAATCATATTTTGCTAACCCACCGGGGTGCAAGGTGAGAAATTGTCCCAGGTGATTTCATTCTTTGCAGTCATCAGAGGGTGTACCGCTTTTCACAGGCGCTAAGTCTGCTAAGAAGTCCCCAGGCAGCACCATCCTACAGAACCACTGCCCTGTATGGTAGTAGGTATGTGGTCGGCACCGACCGGAATGTGAGGAAGTGCGTGGGAGCAGTTATTGATACACAGTCTTGTCCATCAGAATGTAGGCTTCGTGCATACATGAACTATACTAGGTGTGACCAAAATACATGTTTAAATTGAATTATTCAATACAATGAAAGACACATTGCCATTAACCTGCTTCACAATACTCATCTTCACTTTGGACACACTTCGCCCACCATTCTTGCACTTTCTGAAGCTGCTCATTATGCGATGTCCTCACCCACACTGTTCACCAGATCTGGCACCATGAAGATTCTGGGTCTTCCCCCAAAGTCAAATTGGCCATGAAAAGCAAACATTTTTAATTGCTTCAGGACATCAAGCCACAACAATGCAACTAAAGACACTCATGAAAGAGGACTGCCAGAACTGCTTCAGAAAGTGGCGAGAACAATGGGATAAGTGTGCTTGAAGCAAAGGGGAGAGGGGTTAATGGTAATATGTTTTTTTACTATACGAATTTTTTTCTAAAAATTTAACATTCACTCTGTTTTTTGATCATCCCGTATATTTCTTTTTCTTTTAACCTGCAATACTTTATTTCATTAATGTGAACATTAAAAGTGCTGGAAGTGAGGCATGGTGGTGCAGACCTGTAATCCCAGCATGCAGGAGGCTGAGGCAGGAGGATCACTGTGAGTTCAAGACCAGCCTGGGCTACATAAGCAAGTTCAAGGCCAGCCTGCACTATATATCAAGACCCTGTCTCAAAAAAAAAAAAAAAAAGTGCTGGAAATGACAAATAGCTAGATCAATTTGGTTCTAATTCTGGGGAGGTCAAATTAAGAAATATAGAGAATATTAGGCAATTAGTAGCAGAAGGTAAATTGGAAAAGATATCCCGATTAAAACTCTGAGTTTAAAATTCAGTCATCTTATTTACATATACACTGAAATTCCCTTTTATCTGCAAGGGACACATTCCAAGAATCCTGATGGATGCCTGAGGCTGCAGAGAATTGAAGCCCACAAAAATTGTTGCTTTTTCCTACACATATCATAAATTTTAATTTATAATTAGGCACAGTAAGAGATTAAGATTAATAAGAGATTAACTTAAGAGATAAAATAGAACAATTATAACAATATAATGTGATAAGAACTATGTGAATGTTGTTCTCTCAACATCAATTAAGTCAGTATCCTTTTGTACTGTACCATGTTTGCAAACTGGGGTTGACAGGAGGGAACTGAAATTGCAAAAAGTGAAACTGTAGGTACAGGGAAATTACTGTGTGTGTGTGTGTGCGTGTGTCACTGTAAATATTAGGAGAATAAAAATAATAACCAGAAATATTACTAGCATTTACTGAACTAGCCATTGTTCTGCATGCCTAGAGTGTATTAATCAACCAACCTCCAGAAAAGTACTATTATTGAGCCCATTTTATAGATGGGAAGGTGAAGAGTGATTCGTTTGTCCAAATTCCCTCAGTGAATGAACAGGGGGCAAACTTTTAATTGAGGTGACCGAGAATCAAAGACCAGTATCTACCTGGCCACGGGCAAGGACCTGTGGCCCTGGGGTGCTCTGATTCTACAGCAGAACCCAGACTAATCCTGCTCCCTGAGGTCCTACCATAGCTCATTTCCGGTTCCCGTTCCTGTTCTCGTGAGATGTTATTTTCCCCATTCTCTCAAGGATTGTCCTTTTCATGAAATACCTTGAATTCTTACAACCAAATGGACCTAACTAGAACATCCTGATTTTATACCAGCCTTGAAATCTGTTTTCATTATCACATATCATTTGGAGGGGAAAAAAAAAATCCAACTCCAAAAATGTTCATGTACAAGGTAGATTCTTACTGAAAGTTTCAGGAACAGACAAGAAAATTACAATGACTATCCCATAGCAAAATTTCCTTTTAAAATCCCCTTTACAATAAATTGATACAACTAAACCAATTAAAGATAAAGTAAAACTTAAAATATTTCTGTAAGCCGCACATGCGTGGTAGTGGTGCAAGCCAGTGATCCCAGCACTCGGGAGGTTGAGGCAGGAGGATCCCCATGAGTTCCAGGACAGCTTGGGCTACATAGTGAGCTCAAGGCCAGCCTGAACTGCATAACGAGACCCTGTCTCCAAAAAAAAAAAAAAAGAAAATCCTTTAATCAGTTTGACCTTTCTCCAAAGCCCTTATTCGGGCAGCTGCCTCATCTTTCTCTCTCCCTCATCTCATCTCTCTCTCATCTTTCATCGCATTCTCTATAAATCATGCACAACCAAAGACATGGAAGGATCCAGAGCAAAACAAAAACTCAGTGCACTTGGTGATTTCTTAGGCATTCCCCATTAATCCCGTTGGAGAAGTTGAGGCCCAGAGAATTTAAGAGACAAACATAAAATCCCCCAAGAACCAGAAGCAAACGCTGGTTTCCTGGCCCAACGTGTGTGTGTGTGAGCCTGTTTCCCAGTGCTGGGGATGGAAGACCAAGGCCTCACATATGCTATGCAAGCGCTGAACTACCGAGCTACCGCCCACACATCCCCACTCCCTGGTCTGGTATTCTCGCAGCCAGAGCACTCTGCTTAACAGAGTGCCTTCCTAAAGATAATGCGAAAGGAAACTGCAATGCAACGCAATCAGAAACTTCTCAAGAACACAGGATCAAGGGGACTGGGGATTTAGCTCAGCCGCACAGCGCCTGCCTGGCAAGCGCAAGGTCGTAAGTTCGATTCCCGGTACCGGAAAAAAAAAAAACAGCACAGAATCCAGATGCATGAGTGACATGCTGCGAGCAGGATGTGAACATCTCAGACATCTGCCAGCTTTCAGGGCCTCAGAGCACTTACTCTGCCCTCCTTCTCATCTGCTCCACATCCAGCGAGGAAACAAAGGTTGGCCTTCGGACAACAATCTTCTGAGTCTTGGAAACTATGTTTGTCTGAATCATCCCTTCAAACAGAAAAAATAAAATAATCAAGAACCATCCTAGCAAATGACTCATGTTTCAGAGGCAATTTGCATGGCAAATGTTCATGTCCGAGTTGTAGTGTGAACTTAGATGAAAACTGTTCATGATAAGACTCATGTATCCCCCCGCTGCTTATTCAGAGATTCAGAATGCAGTGTGGTAAGTGAGCATTCAGGAATAAACCTAATATTGAAATCAAAGGTGGATGGTATGGTAAAAGAGGAGAGCTGGGATACGAGATGATCAGACATGCATGCAGGTGGCCTCAAACCAGAAAGCACTGATTGTGGGTCAGCGCCTGTTGGCCAGATCTTTGAACATCAAGTGTGAAATGTTATTTTCCAGTTCATGCATGCTGTTGGCCTGGCTGCACACTGTGACGTGATCCTTTTAAGAAGTAAATCATGCCAGGCATGTTGGTGCACACTCGTAATCTCAGCACTCAGAAGCTGAGGCAGGGATATCGCTGCAGGTTCAAGACCAGCCTGGGCTACATAGTGAGTTCAAGGCCAGCCTGAAATACATAGTGAGACCCTGGCTCTCTCAAAAAAATTAATCATTATATATTGCTAGTAAGAATATAAAGTGATACAACCACTCTGCAAAATAGTTTGGTAGTGTCTTATAAAATTAAACATGTCCTACCAAATGATCCAACAGTTCCCCTCTGGGGTACTTAAAGCTTAATGAAAACCTAAACACAGAAATTTCAGAAGAATGTTTACAGCTACATTATTCTAATAACCAAAAAGTGGAAACAACCCAAATGTTCATCAACAGTCCTGGAGTCCTGGAGTTTCTGTCCATGATGATGAATAGATATCAAGATGATAATGTATCTTTATACTGGAATATTACTCAGCAACAAAAAGAACTATTACACATGCAACAACATAGATGAATCTGAAAACCATTATTCTGAGGGAAAGAAGCCAGCTAGGTGCAGAATACACCCTGAAAGAGTCTATTTATATAAAGTTCTAGAAAAGGCAAAACTGATTTAGAAGGACATAAAGCAAATCAGCTGTAGCTTGTCGGGGAGGAGAGGATGGTGGGGTAGACAGAAACTGATTGCAGAGAGGCGGGGGAAACATTGTGATGATGGAAATGTTCTACAGCTAGATTCGGGTGGTTACATGCATCTGCCAGTACTCAACCAACACACACTTGACCCACACACACTTGATGCATTTCACTCTAATAATTAAGCCTCAGTAAAGGTGATACATAACAAAACAGACAGGACAGCAAAATAAACAAGCTAATTAGGCCATGCTGCAGTGCTGCTCAAATCTTCCTATGTCTTCTGTGTTTAACCAAGCAAACAAACCCAGGTTTCTACCTCTGCTTGCAGATTTTCCTGCTCCTTGAAACCCCAAGCTTCTGTGCCCGTGGCCTGGCTCTGCCATCTCCTGCGTCCCCTGCTGTGCCCTTCACCCAGGGGCCCAGGCTGCCGTTCACTCCAAATCCTGCTGGGATCAACCTACGCTCTCCGCCACCTCCTCCGTTCTCTGGGTACTTCATTACAGGGTTTTGCCAACTTACCTTTCAAAAGAGTTGGTATAATGGTCCTTAAAAGCTGTATCACTCCCTGGCTTTGAGCCCCAGTACTACCAAAAGAAAGTTACATTACTTCTCAGCACTCTGGGAGGCTGAGGCAGGAGGATTACAAGTTTAAGTCTTGCCTGGGCAACTTAGTGATTTAGTGAGATCCTGTCTCAAAATTAAAAAAAAAAAATTTTTTTAAAGGGCTGGGGATGTAGCTCAGTGAAGAAGTCTAGGGTTCAATCCCTAGTACCACCACCAACACCAAAAAAAAAAAGCTTCAGTAGTGAACACACCCAAAGTAGTACAGGGTTCAAATTTCAGGTACTATGTGGGAAGTGCAGGACCTGAGAGAGTCCCACTTTTACCAAAACAGCCGTGGGCCAGTCCTGGAGTCCTGGAGTTTCTGTCCATGGGAATGGAGGGTCCTGGGTTTGTGCCAGTGGGACAGTACTTGCAGAGGGAGGGCAGCTCCTGCCCTGATTTCCTACTAAACATGGCAGAGGAGTCCGCAGAAGCTGAACGGAAGACCTTTTTATACTAGCCAAAGTTAATACAGCAGGAGCTGGGGATATAGCTCAGAGGCACAGCACCTGTCTGGCAAGCACAGGGTCCTGAGTTCAATTTCCAGTACAAAAAAAAAGTTAATATAGCAGAAGACAGAGTACTTTAGCCAATGTGATGGATGGAACTATCAGCCTAGATGAACAAGCCTAAGAGGAACAGCAAGTTTCTAAAGCTCTGAAGGTACCCAAAGCCTCATGACCACCACTGTGTTCTTCAGCATCTGAAAGTTCAGCTTTCTCCCCAAGAATCAGCTCAAGCCAGCAGAGCCGAAGTGGTCCCCAGAGCTACTGCCTGTCATCCTCTGCTTTTCTAGATGAGGGTGCTGGGGCAGGGCAGGCTGGGTGTCCTTCCTCAGGGGTGCAGCAAGTGTCCCTCAGAGCCAGGGCTCTAAACACAGGTCTGACATCCATGGCGCTCCCCTTGCTAAGTGAGCCCAACATCCCCACTCCCTCAAGGTTCGCTGTGTTCCACTGACACACAACACTGACAAACGCTGCTCACACGACTCACCCTGGAAGCTCAGCTCGTAGTTCTGAACACCCGCCTGGAACGGTACTACTCCCCTAGGACAGCTCTGAAAGAAAGACTCCAGGTAGGAAGAGTCCACATCGGAACCTGGCTGGTTGTTGCTCTAATTTAAAAAAAAAAAAAGAAAGAAAACATCATCAGGGTAGGCCTTTGGGAAACCTCTACTGCTACATCTTATTTAGTCTGCTTTCAGCCGTGGCTCCTTTGGGGGGTGCTTTTTGAGACAGGATCTCGCTGTGTAGCCCAGGCTGACCTTGAACTTGCCACAATCCTGCCTCGGCCTCCCAAGTGCTGGGATTACAGGCGTGCGCCACCACACCCAGATTTCAACCTTTGCACAGCCCCTGGTGTGATGCCTGTGTGCACCTGCCCCTAACAGAACCCAGCACTCCACACTTCAAGAAACAAGCCCTTGTAGGCCGTTTTAGCTCAGCACATTTAGAGCTGTAGTGAAGGCAGGTGAAAGAAGACCTTGGACTTCTTGTCTCAGCTCCAACAGGTGTGCTGGGCTCCAAACATAAGTGACCTACCCTTTCCGTGTTTCCCCAACCAGAGTAAGTAAATAAAACAATTGAGCTTCCAGCCGGTTGATTATACTGCACCTGAACTTGGAAAAAAGAGCAAAGGAAAAGGTAGATAATAGGAAATGGGGAAGGTTTTTTTTTTTTTTTTTCAGATGGTAAGGGGAGCTAGAGATGGAGGCAGGAGGGGGCAGAGGGGAAGGAAATGGGCAAAAAAGAATTGGGATTTAAAAAAAGGAGAGAGAGCTTCTGCAAATGGGAAGGAGACCAAGATATATGGAAGGAGCAGGGTAGGAGAGGAGGGTAGGGAGTGAAAAGAGAAGTAAGGCGTGTTATGTATGTGCACCAGCTCCTCCTGAGCAGACATGCATCAATAAAAATTAAAATGGATTAAAAAGTTTTTCATTTTAAAAAATGAAAACGAACTTGAACTTGCCCCTGAGAGGGGCTATGATAAAGGAGTGAAGAATATTCAGGAAAACAAAGCTGTAAAAGTCTCATTTCAAGGCATCTATGAGGGACTTGAGCATCAGGATGGTGGGGGCAAGGGGAGGGGTGTTGATCTATCGAGGGGGCAGGCTATGCCGCCACTGCACTCTGCCCTGTGACAAGGGCGGCAGACCACGGCAGACTGGATGTAAGGCCCTAGCAGCAGGGGTTCCCAACATTTCAAGGCGGTGAAATGCTTGTTTCTCATAAACTAGAATAGAGGGGATCATGCGGCGAAATCCTGGTGGCATCCATGCTGAGGAGGGACTCACGGTCCCTTGATGATATTCCAGACTCTCCAGCTTTCTGCTGCACCCTCGCCCACCTCTCCCAAAGGGAACTGCCTTCTGCATGGGAGGGAAGGGCCCAGAACGAAAGCGCCCAAGGAAAATTGGGTGGAGAAGAGTCCGAGCTGGTCTCCTTCACTGACAGAGCATGGTTGGAGCAGAGAAGCTGTGTTCAAACATGTGCACACAGGGCAAAGCAGAGTAAAGCTGACTGTGTCTCAGAGGAGGAACCAGGACAAAGAGTGGAAGACTTTGGAAGAACTTTCTAACCTACAGCACCCCGCAGGTCATACCATGAAGATGTCTATTGCCAGGGAAGACTGGAAGGGAGATGGTAGCCATGGTCAGATGAGGGCTGCTAAACTATCTGCCTTCTCTGGCCCAAAGAGCAGCCAACACTTACGGGCTTAGGGATTTCTTGTCTCTAGCGCTGAAGTCTTGTATCTACCTCCTGCCCTGACAGACAGGGTTTGTCTGTGCAGATTTCCTCAGCTCTGTAGAACCCTGGCATAACATGCCACAGTCTTTCAAACTCTGACGTCCCTCTGAGTTATCCAGAGACCAGGTTCAAGTGCAGATTATAATTCAGAGAAGGGCCAGGGATATAGCTCAGTGGCATAAGTGCTTGCCTGGCAAGCCTGAGGTCATGAGTTCAATTCTCGGTACCCAAACAAACAATATAATTCAGAGGAAGTGGGTGAAGGGTTTGGGGCTCCACATTTCAACAGCTCCAAGATGCTATCAATACTGCTGGTTTTTGAATGTCACTTTGACTAGCAAGGCTCTAGGGTCAAGGCTGGAGCTGCTTCTAGAACATTCTGCAATGGTGGAAATGTTCTCTGTGCTGTCCCATGTGACTGTGAGTTTCTCAGCTGGACCTGGGAATTTAACTGACCTAGGGTAAATCCAGAAGAAAAAAGCATACAAACTTGTCACCCAAATTGTACATGGCATGGGAGCCCTCAGGAGGAAATGACCCAGAGACAGTTAGGGATGAGCACTTAGTGAGTGCCACAGAGCAGTAAGTTACGGAAATGTGACGGGGAAAGAGGGCATTGGCTAGGGCAGTCAGCTGGGTGGAGAGGTGTCCGGGATGAGAAGGACTCGTTGACAGGGTTTGTCTGTGCAGATTTCCCTCAGCTGTGGGGTCCCGCCTTGGCCATAAGAACATGGCTCCTGGTGTAGGAAGGGTGTCTTTTCCTCCACAATTTCACCCTCTGCTTTTACAAAATAGATCAGAGTAATCTTCTCGCACCTACTGATTTTCAAGTGCCTTTAACTCAGAATAGTCAAGGTGCCAGAGTGGCTTATTTTTCACTCCTTCAGTTGCCTGGCTGTATGTGCTGTGGAGCACTTAAAATGTCACTGGTGCAACCAACTAGTGGGACTGAATTCTTGATTTTATTTGAGTTTAAAATGAAATAGCCACATGAGGCTGTGGGCTGTCACACCAGATTGCCCAGGACTGGAAGATCATCGACTGGGTATCCGCATGGCCCAAACGGCTCCAATCAGCTCCTCCTGGCTTTGCCCTCACACTGCACTTGCGACGTCCCTAGACTCTGATATGTGGCAAAGTTCTCATGGGTTATGTTTCCCCTGGCTGAGTCCACATCACAGATGAGTCTCAGACACTGACTGATACACACACTGGTTTGCTCATGCATCACTCGTACGGGCTAACAGGACACGGGCACTTGGATATCACAGCTGTGTGACAGGTCACACAGCTGACTGAGAGGGTCTCTGTCAGGAGCCAGCTCTCCAAGTGTGAGGAGCCTTTCTTCTCTTTTATACCTGTGTGCTGTGCAGATCAACTACCAGGTATCTCTTCTGCAAGCTATTCTGATTGTGTCTGTGCTGAGCTGGCCCTCGCTCCTTGGAAATCTCCCCAGACAGAGCTATCTCTTGCTCCTAAGTGACAGGTAATGAAAACCTTACGAGATGCTTCCTTTCGGCTACCATTCATTTAAAAGCTGTAGGGGCTGGGGATTTAGCTCAGCGGCAAAGCGCCTGCCTGGCAAGCGCAAGGTCGTGAGTTCGGTTCCCGGTACCGGAGAAAAACAAAAACAAAAACAAAAAAATAAAAATAAAAAAAAATAAAATAAAAGCTGTAATGTGTCCCAGCGTAGGCTACAGCAGCCCAGTTCTGCAGGAGGGAAAGAATGACTGAAGGGTTGAGCCTTCAGTTATTTATTCTCCCACACGACTTGGATTTATACCTCAGCTGTAGTAACCAGGTCTTGGCTTTTGTCCTGTGTCTCAGTTATTGCTTTGATCTTGACTTTCCAGAGCTGCAGCTTGCCCTGCTCTGGGGATTCTGCTGTTTCCCCACATGAGTTCCACAGCTCCCGAGTCAAGCTGTGTGCTGGTAAAGCTCTGCAAGGACCTGGGACTGCGTGTCCGCCCTGATGCACACCCGGTGACTACCAGGGCCCACCCTTCCCACTGTCCTACACCACCGCTGCCCAGCTGCCCATCCCTGCAGTCATCGCTTTAATACATCTCCATGTCCACCCTCCACCTAGGTCCAAGTCCTGGTTAAGCATCTCCACTTCCATAAAAGATCCCCATTCTACCTTCCAGAAAGCTTGTGTCAGGGAACTCCGCCTACCTTATGTTAGTAAAAATGTTTGCACCCTAAGATCCTACAACAGAAGTTCCTCACCTAGGACTCTCAGTTGCCCAACTCTGATTAACAGTTCAGCCACAAGGAAGAAAACCTACGGGGCACTGTCTGAAGGCTACAGAGGAGACTGTGTTCTCTAAGTAGTCCAACCTGTACACTGAGTCAAACCAAGGAACTGCAAACTTGGACCATCACACATTAATCTATGGGATAAACTCAGTTGCTAATTTACAATTTGTAATAACTGGGTCTTAGAAACAAATGGCCATCAACCAAGGAATGGATAAAAAAGGTGTGGTGTTTTCATACAGTGGAGTACTACTCAGTCACAAAGGGTAAACTGGAGATTTTTATAAGTACAAGGGTACAACTCGAGACCATACTACATGGTCTAGTTTATTTCACATCATATTGTCTCCCTAGTGTAAGAAGCTGAAAGAATAAATGACATCCAAAATGTACAGCAGATATTGTAAAATGGTAAGAAACTGTTCAAAAAGAAAGAGAAGCTAGATGGGGGAAAGGACAAAAGAGGGAAGGGAAAAGTAATATATATATATATATATATATATATATATATATTATATAATATATACATATATGATAGTTAAGATAGTTACACTATTAATTTCTCTTAGTTCATTGAAAAGAAAGGTTTGTGCTAACATTGTTTGGACAATTAAATCTGTATATCTTGGGCTGGTGATATAGCTCAGTGGCACATTGCCTGGCCGGAAAGCACAAGGTCCTGAGTTCAATTCCCAGTATAAAAAAAAAAGCGTATATCTTGTACTATAAGTAATAATTTAGAGATAACAATACACAATGTGTTAACCATTGTTACTCTTCTATTATCTTGTTCTGAAATTTTGGTGGTGTTTTTGCTTTAAAATAAAATAAAAAAAAAAATGAAGGGATGCTCATGCAGGATAGCAGCTCAGTTTATCTAAAATTTCTATCCTAGAATTCTATCCTAGAATTCTAAACTTCTATCCTAGAATCTTCTAGTTCTAGTCCTTTAAATTCAAACTGACTAAATACAGGTGACTACCTATGCCAGACATTGCTTGAACAAATTAACACATCCTCTGGTACAGTTAACCATCCCATCCTCCCTGTTGGTCTAACTTTGCTCTCTTACCCTCTTTTGTTGGCTATTATGGTTTAGCTCTAAAATGATCCCCCAATGTCTCACTATTCAGAGGTGGGCTTTTGGAAGGCAGATGAATCACAGCGGTGCTCTGTACTCAAGCAGATTCATCCTTTGATGAGTTGCTTATTGCCGAGTGTGCAATCAGGAGGTGGCACCTGGTTGGAGTGTTCACTGGAGGTGTGACCCCAAAGGGTGTCTCTTTGTCTCTGGTTCATTCCCTCTCTCTCTGCTTCCAGCCTCCATGGGCTGAGCAGCTCTCCTCCATTATGCCCTTCCAACTTACCATTTCTGCCCTGGAGCCAACCAACCATGGACAGAACCCTCTGAAACTATAAGCTAAGATAAATCTCTTCTTTAGGTTATGGGTGTTAAGAATTTTGACTCAAGGATAGGCTCAAAGCAGTAGTCTCTGTGATTTTTTTTTTTCTTTCTGTTTTTGGAGGACAGGTTGATACAGGTTCTCGTTATGGAGTTCATACTGACCTTGAACTCATTATGTACCCTGGTCTTCCCTTGAACTCAAGAGTTGCTCCTACCTCAGCCTCCCAAGTGCTGGGATTACTGGTGTGCACCATCATGCCTGGCTCAACATTTATTGTTTTTTGTTTGTTTGTTTTGTTTTGTTTTTTTGGGGGGGTGGAATACCAAGAATCAAACTCACACACTTGCTAGAGTGGTGCTTGTGCTACTGAGCTATATCTCTGGCCCCTCCACATTCATTGTTAATACACAGCTATCTCAAGGTTTTATTCTATCCCTGATAGTGAGGAAAGGGGCCATATAGCCAACTCAGGTCTAAAGGGGTTCCTTAAAAATAATTAGTAAGCAGAGCAGGGTGGCACATATCTATTAATCTTAGCCTTCTAGGAGGGTGAGACAAGAGGACTGTAAATTTCAGCCTAGCCTGGGGCAACTTAGCAAGATCCTGTCTCAAAATGAAAAAATACTGTAAGCCCTGGGCACGTAACTCAATGCGCAGGCTCTGAGTTCAACCCCTAGTACCAATAAAAGTTTCGGTTCCCAATTACAATCGAAGAATATGCTTGCTAAAAAAAATGTAAATACAGCTGTATATAGAGCAAAAAACAAACAAAAAAGTTCCTCCTTACTTCAAATATTCTATTAATAGATTTTTATTTTTAAATCAGCAAGTTTGAACAAGAGCCGCCCGCAAGGAAGAATGGTACTCACCCCTTCCCCATATGGAATCCATTTGCCACTTTCATTATTCCAATACCAAATCCACTTGGTGGTGAAGACAGAATTGGCCTGGTTCGTGCCAGATGAAGGGGTAGACAAGCGTCGCATGGGCCTAACACTGTAAGTCATTTTCTGGAAATCAACTGTATGATTTCCTATTAAAATCCTGAGATAGAAAAGTAACAAAATGCTTCATTGACATCCACTTCTACAGTTGTTACAGTTTGTGTCTAGATGTCCCCTCAAAGCCTCATGTGGACATAGATGGGGCTTTTTCAGAGGTGGCTGGATCTAGAATGTGTGATGCTGAGATTAATTCCTGGTGCAATGCTAGGATCAAGGGCACTAGGATTAAGGGTGTGAGTGCTGCCTGCCCTACATAGCCTGGATAATATATAAGGGACAGAAAGAGCTGTGGTCGTCCCTTGTTGCTTTGCTGCCTTCTGCCTGCCATGAACTAGTTCTCCTCTTTAGTGCCTGTCTGCTATATAGCCCTGCCTTGGAGCCAATTATGGACTGATACCTCTACAAACTGTAGGGCCAAATAACCTTTTCCCCTTTTAACTTTGGGTGTCAGATAGTTTGTCTCAACAATAAAAAAAAAAAAAAAAATTAACACAACAGTCTACACTTCCATAACAATTATGCAGAATTAACTTTTTTTTGGTACCGGGAATTGAACCCAGGGCCTCACGCTTGCTAGGCAGTTTCTATACCGCTGAACTACATCCCCAGCCCCACAATTAATGTTTTAGGACCGAGAAAGATGTTAAAGTTTTCTTTCCTTTGTTTTTAATGCTGTAAATAAAGTCTTAACTTTTCTTCCTACAGCTCCAGGTATCACATTTAAAAGAAAAACTGAAACGCAGAGAGCTCAAGTAACTTGCCTACATCCCATATTTAAGGGTGTCACAAAATGCATTGTTTCCTTAAAATATATCCACAAATAAAACTGCCCACAAAATAACTGATGGGCTCAATATTAGAAAGCAAGTTGGAAACTCCTTAGGTCAATTTTGAAAATTATTTACAATTATCTGACTAGTTACCAAAGTGTGGTCTAAGGCTCTTTAAGAGAACTGGCAAGGTCAAAGTCATTTTCATAATAATATCAAGCCATTATTTGTCCTCTTTGCTTTGTTACTGTCGTTACTGCACAAGTTTTCTAGAGGCTGAATGAAATACAGTTTCATGACAGATTGACTAAAGAATGAGATATGAGAATCCACTTGCCTTCTATTAAGGCAGCCATTAGGAGATGTCCAAAAATATAAACCTATGACACACTTCTCCATAACGCTTTTTGTTTCAGAGAACAGTCGTTGTTACAGTTATTTACATGTAGGCACATAATTATATACACCTACTTCTATAGAAACGCTATTTATGTTAATGTGTGATGAGCTTACTGCTGTCACTAAGTGGATCCATGAAAATTTAATTTTTCTCAGTTCTAATTATTAATATGATAGATCTTGATATCCACAATTCACATAAACAGAAAGTCTTGGAAACCCTTAATATATTTTAAGAATGTTAAAGAGTCCCAAAGCAGGAACGTTTGTGGGTTACTACTGTAAGTAAGATCTCTTGGATCAGTCAGATTAATGTTGACCCCTGGGGACATCTGACCATATCCAGGGACATTCAGGTGGGGTAGGGAGGGTAGTGCTTACTAGAATCAAGGATAGAGACCTGGTAGACTACCGGCCACTTCCCAGCAGCAAGTAATTATCTGGCCCCAATGTCAACCTGGAGTTTCAAAGTTGAGGAACTACTGTATTTGGGGGGGGGGGGCTGGAGATTCGAACCTAAAAATAAGGGAACAGCTGATACCACCCTCTACTGACAGAATGCAGCAATACACAACCTCCATTGACAGCTTACTAAAGTGTGCACAGGATGCAAAGTATGCAGATATCCCCCAACACACACAGAATTCCCTTGTAAAATGATGATGCATCCTATATTCCTGCACATCGTAACAAAATGTGGTCATGCAAGTATCACCATTTCAGCCCCCAAGGGAGCAGAAATGTAAAGTATCCTCCACTTAAGCACCTCCAGAATAAAGAGCTGGCATAAGGAAAGTAGAAAATGCTAGAGCTCACAACACATTTCTGTGCTAGAACTACATGGAATTACTCAACTCATACTTAACAATTACTAAACTAAGCCAAAGGCTCGTTTGTTCTAAACCCCTCGGTGCATTCCAAGGTTCTGTCACGGGTTAAGAAGACCATGAACTGACCTCTGCACTGTGCTTTTCTGCATGACTCACTGACAGACAGCAACTAAACAAATAATCACCACTGTTAATTGACTTGAGTCAGCAAGTGAGTTCAGAATCCCTAGAGGCAGCCAGATGTTTGCCCCGTAAGCCTAACACTCTGCTTTCTTTTGATGACGCGAATCTCGTAACCCCAGTGCAGTCACCCACTCACATGAAGTTCTGGGGGTCACAGTAGGCCTTCTCAATCTTCTCCATGTTCGGTAAGTCCACCCAAGTGTGTGTCAACACCTGCCACTGGTAGGGTAGGTGGAAGTGAATTTTGCTGCAGCTGCCTACAAAGACAGAAAGAAGATCTCAGGGCCGTTTGGGGGATTCTGATCCACTCAGCCAAGTTCACTGAGGATTTGTCTTCCCCACTCTCCTGGGGTTTCCCACCTGTCCCTTTGTTCATGCAGGTCCCTGTTTGCTGTGCCCCATGTCCACCACTCAGGATGCTTTATTACCCTTGGGAATGAATCCAGAAACAGAAATTCCCCACTCCCTACCTAGTCTGCGCTATTTCTAAAGGTACAGGTAGCCTTTGTGTGCCCTCCCCAAGGGACCACGGTAAGACAAGATGCCCTCCAACACAGGCAACCACTTCTATTTCCTTGAAACCCGGGCCTAAAACTGCACCTCTTCCAAAGCAATTCCCCCAACTAATCTCCCGCTATTGTGCTCTGACCCGGATTTTGCATTCCCTTAGCCAAAATATAGTTTGGGCTTAATATGATGTATTTATCTATTTTGTGCAGTTTTTTGTGGCTGTTTTGATGTCCCAGCTTAATTATAAACACTAAAGAAAACTGCTTCACTCTTTTTCTTGTGTGATTGGCACAAGGCTGAGCATGCTAAAGACTGTCATGAAAATGAATGTTCACTGGATAAGGGATCAGTCTTACAAGCCCATCATTCAAAGACGCCAAAAAGAGTTCTATTTTCCAAACTTACTATATTTAAATTGCTTTTTGAAATGTTCAAAAGAAGTGCAACTACTTTAACATAAAAAGGATGTCACAGGGAAATCCATAGGAAGCGCACTGCTTGAGATGTAGCTAATCAAAAGGGAAGATGCACTCATCCTGATCCCTGCCTCACACCCTATTAGGATGGAGGAGGGAGGGAGAGGGGAAGGGAGAGAAGAATGTGCGCTGATGGGAACCTTTCTGCTTTGCCAGTGAGAAAGACAAATGGTCCAGCCACAACGGGAAATGGTACATCCAAAAACTAAAGAATGAATTATCATATGACCCAGCAATTCCACATCCGGGTATTTATCCAACATACATGAAAGCAGGCCTTGAGCATATACTTCCATGCCTATGTTCACAGCAGGATTATTCACAGTGGCCAAGAGGTAGAGGCTTACAGAAAGCTTATAGTACTCACTGTTAAGTTGACAACAGTTATGCAGATAATCTACACAAATGTCCTTTGTGCCATGATTACCCGTCTTAGATGTGGTACTTGCAACATCAGATACGGAATCTACAAAACAAAAGAGGATGCATGTATGGTGATCTTCACATTTAAATCAAACATGAAAACAAAGTCTCCTCACAGGAAGGAATCATGAAGTGAGGGCCATGTTCAAGAAAACTCCTGGGATTTGTGCCTTGCCCCTGAAGGCCCAGACAGACCCTCCAGAAAATGAAACATGGACACTAGGGCCACATGCAAGTTGTGTTTATTTCTTAAACTAGAGCCTAACTAGTTCTCCTGTTCTCAGCGCTCACGGCATGTGGTTCTCCCAGCAAGTCCTCTTTGTCTTCCTCACCAGTGCTAACCAAACCCTTCATCCTTAAAGGAAGAGCTCCCAGCTACGCCACTCTGCTGTCGACTGCAGATGTGGGCATCCCCTTTATTGAGGGACCTACCCTGAGTGGGGACCTACTCTGGGGTCCTCCTCAAGAGCTCACTGGCAGAGCTAACAGAGGCCTGGGCAGAGTTCTGACTCTCAGTCTCATGGGCTGCATCTCTGGTGCCTGAGGAAGGCGGAGGAGACAAGGCAGCCTATGGACTTGTGCATGTGTCAGAGGTTTCCCCAGCAGAGGCTGGGGCCTGGCTTCCTGCACTCTGACTTTCAGGATAAAATGCACCCCCCACCCATGATGCTGTTTTTAAACCAAAATTAGTAGCATTATCTATATGACAAGTTTCATCCGCATGACCAGAGCCATTTGGTGCCTTATAGACAGATTTACCAGCCCAAAAGGTCTTCCCTCTGTATTTACCATTCGGAAATGCCACTCCAGGGTCATCACTGATAATGCTGCCAATCTGGTGATCCAGGGGAGTAGCTCTGCTGTCCTGGTGATAACTTGGTAGTGCTATTTCTCTCTGGCCATTGGGTATCATTCCAAAATTCATGTTCATGGCCACTCCATCATGAGTATTATTGAAAAGAGGGACTTGCCGGGTGTCTGGAGTCCCACTCTTGCCCTTGATGTTTACGTGGTCTGATGAAAGCACTCCCATCGGCATTCTGGAGCTTATGGCTTTGGATGTTTGTGTAGAATCAAGAGGCGAACCAGGCACAGCTTGACTCGGAAAGAGTGCACTCTCCTTCCCAGTGCCCTGAACATTCAGCCAGGATGGGGAGCTCTTCCTGTTAGAGGCCGAGGTGGAATTCGAGGCAGGATTGCTTTTATTGCTATAAAAGAGGTCCTCTGGAAGGCCATTCTCTGAGAACCTCGGACTCGCTCCCACTTGACCCGGTCCTCCGAGACCAGAAGCCTTAGACGAGACTGAGGACAGCTGGGCGAGAGCCGTATTCTCCAGAAACGTTAACTTTCGGGTGAGGTCGTCGATAGCCCTGTCCTCCAGGGCAGCTCTGCTGCTGGTGCCATCCGGACTGGGAGTGCCCAACTTGTGAGCTGAGGTGAAAGGGAACTCCTTGCTGTCCTGAGAGACTCGGTCTCTACTCTTGCTCCTTCCTCTCCCTGCCCCACCTCTACGGTGCGCAGGAGCTGAAAAGAGAAGACAAAACAAGAATGAAAACCACACTCGAAGGGACTGCATTCCTGCCACCATTTCTCTTTAGTTTCCGGCCTTGCCATCCAAATACTATCAAGAGACTCGTCCTAGTTGGGTGCATGAAAATCTTGCGAAAGGGCGGTTATGATGAAGCCGAAGTAGGAATCCTACATGCAGTCTGCACGGCAGGGACCAGCATTCTGGAGCCTGGGATGAGTGGTGTGACTTCGTATTCTCCTGTTTCTCTCCTGGGACTCGGGGAGGCCCTCACCCACAACCTGCAGGTGGGACTGTCCACTACCTCTTGTCCTGAGTCAGCTTTCACTGCTATGGTGAATGAGGAGACGGAGTAAGGCAAACGAGGAAGACTTCTCCAAAAATTACTTAGCTGTTGTCTTGATCATCTAAGTGTACATGGCTATACTTGATCATCTAAGTGTTCACAACACTTAAAATAAAATGGAAAATGAAACCACATTCTCAAGATATGAGTTCATTTAAACTAGAAGTTTCCCAGATTGCTTCAGGTAATTCCCCAACACCCAAGCTTAATAGCCAAAGTCAAAGTGAACAAAGCAGTCGCCTTTCCAGAACCTGAATGACTCACGCCTGCCTGGAAGCAGGAAGGAAGGTGTGAGTATGTTGTATGCATGGAGTGTGTAGAGTGTGTGTGTGTGTGTGTGTGAGAGAGAGAGAGAGAGAGAGAGAGAGACAGAGAGAGAGAGAGGTTTATGGGGGGAGAGCTGTGAAAGATGCACACAGCTGTGTCTGAAGCATGGGTGCATCTGCAACGCCTGCCTCTGTGCTCATGAAGATGTGTGCACACATGTGTGTGTGTACGTGTGAGTGTGCACGTTGTGCTATTGGGGATGGAGTTCTTTTCCACCCAAACCAAGGGGAAACAGTAACATAGTAAAAGCAAACATCTCGCTGTCAACAGAATTGTTAACTCACTGATGAACTAGAAATGATAATACAGATTCTCTGGTACACATTGTGAAACCACACCAAAAATGGCCCGTCCGGATGTTCCTGCTCAAAGAGCCCTGTGGTGTCGGGGAGGGGCATGGTGTGGGGGAAGCGGGTGGTGTGGACTCTGAACGTGCTGCTCCGCTCCTCTCTAGAGGTCCCGGAAACGGCTGTGCTCGCTCATCACCTCACCCTTCATTTTTCTAAAAATGATTCAAAGCTGCTTACAATAAAGGTTGCTTAAAATTTCTGAGTCGCCCTTTCTTATCCCATAAGAGAGACTGATTAATACTGTATCTCAGTGGCACAGCACTTGCTTGGCAAGTGCAAGGTCCTGAGTTCAATTCCCGGTACCTAATAATAATAATAATAATAATAATAATAATAATAATAATAAAATCTGTATTTCTGCATGGTTTTATGGTGAGAAAGAATGATACTTTGGTGAAAGTCCCTTGGAAGCCACAAACATTTGATAAATACAAGGGCAGTGTAATTGTTCATCACATTTTGTTTTGGTTTGGTTTTTGAAATAGGGGCCTCACTATGGGGCCCAGACAGGTCTCTGATGCCCAAGCTCAAGTGATCCTCCCCGTCAGCCTCCCAAGGAGCTGGAACTAAAGGTGTGCACCCCACTACCATGTGATCTATCTGCTTCATAAAATCTCCTCTTCTACTCCACTTCATAAAGACATTTAAAAATTTGAAATTAAGGCCATTATACAGAAGAAAATATTTAAGAAATGGTATCACTTCACACCTATTAATATGGTCATTATAAAAAATCAGAAAATGATCCGGGGAAAAAAGGATGTGGAGAAATTTGAACCTTTGTACATTACTGGTGGAAATGCAAAATAGTAAAACAGTATGGCAGCTCCAGAAAAAAACTAAATATGGAATTACCATTGAATCCAGCAATCCCACTTCTTTTTTTTTTTTTTTTTTGGTTTTGGTTTTTCTCCGGTACCGGGAACCTAACTCACGACCTTGCACTTGCCAGGCAAGCGCTTTGCCGCTGAGCTAAATCCCCAGCGCCGCAATCCCACTTCTGATTACATTCCCAAAAGAACTGAAAGCAGAGTTTCAATGATATATTTACACACCTATGTTCACAGTAGCATTATTCAGATAGCCAAAATGTAGAAAATCTTAGGCAGATATGGTGGCATACGCCTGTAGTCCCAGACCTTGGTAGGCTAAGGCTGGAGGATCTCTATGAGTTCAAGGTCAAACAATCCTAAAATTCATATGGAACCAGAGGAGACCCAGGACAGCAAAAGCAATCCTGGGTGAGAACACAATGGGAGGAACCACAATCCCAGACTTAAAGTTGTATCACAAAGCTATGATGATAATGTCAGCATGGTACCAGCATAAAAACAGACTTTTTATAAGGTGGATCAATAAAACAGAGGAGAGGATGATGAAACAGCCTCAGGCATATTGAGCTATTTATCGTTGACAAAGGGGCCAAAAACATACACTGAAAGAAGATAGCCTCTTTAATAAATCGTGTTGGGAAAACTGGCTATCCACATGAGGAAGACTGAATCTAGACCCCTATCTCACACCATGCATTAAACTGAAATCAAAATGGGGCAAAAACAAGTGTAAGCCCCTGAGTTCAATTCCTGATACAAAAAAAAAAAAATTAAAGAACAATTTTTTTTTGAGACAGAGTGTCACTATAGTTTAGGCTAGTCTTGAACTCACTGTGTAGCCCAGGGTAGACTCAAACTCATAGCAATTTTCATGCCTCAGGATCCCAAGTGCTGGGATTACAGCTGTGTGACACTATGCCCAGCTAAAGAACTAAATGTTAAAACAGAAACACTTCATCTTCTGAAAAACCATGGGTAAAACTCTTGAAGTCATAGGCAATAGGTAAGGACTTTCTGAACAGAGCACCAGTTGCATAGGAAATAGTACCAAGAACCAATAAACGGAATCATATCAAATTTTTTTTGGTACTGGGAATCAACTCAGTTACCCATAAAAGGTAAACATTCTGAATCAGTTCAGGACACTTACGCAGCCACGACTGCATCACTAAAGACACTCATGAAAGAGGACTGCCAGACCTGCTTCAGAAAGTGGCAAGAACTATGGGCTAAGTGTGTTGGAGGGGGGCGTATTTTGAGGGAGTTTATGGTAACGTGTCTTTCACTGTAATAAAAGTTTAAATTTAAACACTCACTGTCATTTTCAATCACACCTTATATAGTACTACGAATATATTAAAACAATGTATATATTGGGACAGGCTTTGGGAAGGAAAATGAAGGCATTTTATGTGGTAAAGTAGAAACATTGTAGATGCTGTTTTTTTCTTTCCTTGTGATCTCCCTTCATTCAAAAGTACATGCAATTCAAAGGCAGAACCACTTACTTTTGGACCCAGGAGGGTTCTTCCGCATGTGCTTGCTGTTGCAGATGTCTTGGATGTTCTGGACCACGTCGGGGCTCAGCCCATGATCCCTCATGATGGCCAGCACCTTTCTATCCATCAGGTTATGAGATCTGAGGCAGTTGGGGTAGCTACAGTTCCCCTGCGTGAAGTGTTCGCATATGTGGAGTCTTTCACATGGCGGTTGCTGGTTACAGATCTGTTTTCGACCCTCTCCTTTATAACTTTTGCATATCTACAGAAGAGAGAAATAACAGCAGAGGGAAAAACACCTTCTTGTATCTGCCACACATTCACTAAAGAAGGTTTAAGTACACAAAAAATTCTATGGCAAACAAATGTACAAAGGGAAAAAAGAGTGTTCCACAATCTTTGATAAAATGCACTCGATTTATCTGGAGGTGGAAGAGGTCCACACACTAAATAAAAGATAGTGATGAACTTGGTTAATCCTTGGGAGAGTACTGACCGCAAACAGGATGCCAAATGAGTTCTATAGTATAAAGGCACCCAAAAAGGACGGTCTAGTTTTGGATATCAACTTAGTTTGCAAGTAGTTGTGTCTTATGGGCAGCTGTTCAGGAATCTGGAATTTGTTCTCTGCTAAGCAGAATGTGAAGTTTCTCAAATGACCTCCTATTTTTATCTAGATAGATGTATCTACATATCTAGCTCTACAGAGATGTAGTTCCTTCTGAAAGGTCGAATACTACCACTGGGTCCAGACGCTAGGGTGCAGGACTAAAGGATGCTTTTTATTTTTTTATTTTTATTTCATTTTTTTGGTACCGGGAATTGAACTCAGGACCTTGGGCTTGCCAGGCAGGTGCTGCACCACTGAGCTATATCTCCTTAGCCACAAGGATGTGGCTTTTTTAAAGTCTGAGGCTCTAGCAGCAGCTGGGCAACCAAGGGACCTACTCTTGGTTTCGGTTTCCTTTCCTCTAACAAGAGCAAAACATCTGGCTGGTTCACCTCAATCACATGGTTAAGCAGACTAACACAATGTGCGGCTGTGTTGTGCAAGACAGAAGGCGCGGCACACATCTTCAAACTACAAATGAGGAAACCAGTATGATTAGTAAAAAACTGAGCTTCACGCATTTTAAAGATAAAAACATTTGGGGCTGGGGATTTAGCTCAGCGGCAAAGCGCCTGCCTGGCAAGCGCAAGGCCGTGAGTTCGGTTCCCGGTACCGGAGAAAAACCAGAAAAACAAAAAAAAAAAAAAAAAAAAAAAAATTTTAAAAAAAGATAAAAACATTTGTAGGTTATTCTCGAAGGCTCTCTGTAGACCAGATCAACATTCTTCCCACGATTTGTCTACGTGGTACAGACATGAATCCAAACTCAAGAACAATGACTTAGCTACGAAGATAGCGTCTAAAGCCAGGTTCAAACAGATAAAATTGCCGTGGAGCCCACTACTCAGATTCTAAACTCTAGACCGCCAGTTCTCAAAGTGTAGTCCCAGGACCAGGCACTGTCAGCACCATTGGGTCATTTGTTACAGCCCAGAAGCAGCAGCAGTGGGGTCCCCAAATCTGTGCTTTAACAAGACTCCAGCTTATTTTATTAAATCTTTTTTTTGCTTTGGTACTAGGAATTGAACTCAGAACCTTGTGCTTGCCAGGCAGACACTTATGCTGCTGAGCTACATCCCTGGTCCCCTCCAGCTTATTTTAATGCATGCTCAACTTGGAGAACCGGTGTCCTGGAGAAAAATTCAGAACTTCACAAACAATGCTTTGGTTAGTACGCCCACTACCATGCTAATGTCGAAGCAAGATGGTGCCTACCTCAATTCACCTAAGATAAATGAAGTCATTTCTTCCTTCAATAAGCACATTTTAGTTTTACAACTTTACATAAAAGTTTGCCTGATGTTTTTATGTCCTCATGGGTCAGCGATGGTGAACCTTTTCGAGTTTTCAATGCTGCAAACGGCCCGTTGTGGCACGTGTGACACAAGCTTACCACCCCTGTCATAGGGCAAGGCTGATTCGAAAGATGTGACTATTTTAAGTTTTTTTTTAAGGTAGGAAGTACATCTTGTCCACTGCTGCCTTTAGCATTTAACCCAAGTCTCAATTGAAAGAATGCAAAACAACAAATAGGGTGGTGTACAAAGGGTTCGATGTCTGTCCAAGGTCATAGGTAGTTCATGAGAGAGACGGGGGGACCAAGCCCTCTCCCCTAACACCCCTGCTGACAAAAGTTCAATAGGCCCAAACAACAATATTTGGGGTTTTTTTGGTAGCAGGAATCGAACTTGGGACCACGCGCTCGCCAAGTAGGCGCTTGTACCGCTGAGCTATATCCCCAGGCCCCAAACAGCAGTGTTAATCTGCAATAATAATTCTTCCCTTTTCAAGAACCAGCCTGAAACAAGTCTTGTTAAACTACCTGCACTCTGGCTGACCCCCTGCTAAAGTGCCAGGAAGATATTCTGCCCATCGCCCCCCCCTCAAGGTAAATATTCCTCTGAAGACCTCTTGCTCAGTATTTCCGAATGGAAACTGATGCTGATGATTCTCACTGAACCTGTCTCAAAAAAAAAAAGAAAAGAAAATTGAAAGAGATTTATTTATTTGTTTGTTTGTTTGTTTGAGACAGAGTCTTGCTATGTAGTTCAGGATGGCCTTGAACTCACTATGTAGCAGCCCAGGTTGGCCTCAAACTCATGTCGATCCTCCTGCCTCAGCCTCCTGAGTGCTGGGATTACAGGTATTTGTCACCACACCTGGTATCACAAGGTCTTTAAGTGGTCAGAAAAACACACTAAGTTCAGAATAAAAAAAGTATTTAACCCTCAAGAAATCACCTGAGCTATCTTGTCGGGTATAAAATAACATCTGAATCCCAGCCTCACTCACAGAGTCCCAATCCCTCCAGTCACTCCATCCAGGATGCGTCTCTATACCTCTCTTTCAGTACGAGGCTAACATGTCCACCTGCAGGGGTTTTTCTCAGGCTGGATTCAAGCTTTAAACAGCATCCTCTGAATGTAAGTCTCTACACCTATCTAGATAAGACTTAGTTATTCACCAGTGTTCCCATTTTTCTTCTAGTAATAGAAGTTCCGAAGTTTTAGGTAGACAAATGGCTGTCCAGCCGGAAACTACATTTCCCAGCCTTCCTTTCAGCTAAGCATGAGCACGTGAAAAGCTACAGCCAATGAAATATAAGCAGATGCGCTAGCTAAAAAGTAAGTTCATCTTCCCCTTACTTCCTCTCTATGCTCCAATCAGCTAGAAAATAGTGACAAATGAGCTCAGTTGTGTATCTGGAGATGGAAGCCCCATTTTGAAGATGACAGATCTGACCTACAGGCCCGAGTGCTTGGATGATCCAGCTGCCTGCTCGACCTCACTGAGACAAGACCATAACTTGACAGGTCATCCTGTAAAGGCCTGCACAGTAAATATTCTAGCCTTTGCAGGCCATTCTGGCTTTGCTGCTACTACCCAAGTTGTCCTGATGACATAATCACAGTCATAGTACATCAGCAAACAGGTGTGGCTGCATTCCAATGACCCTTTATCTATAAAAACAGGCGGCAGGCCTGTGCGCTAGACTGTGGACTCCTCATGTCACCTGTCAAGTGGTAGGGAAATAAAAGTATAGTTTATTTCACTCTATTGTAGGGGTGGGGTGAGAGAGTCTGACAAAACAGCAGAGCCGGTACCTTCATCTCCCCTGTCATCTGCCAAACTTCAGGGCAAAGGCCACCTCTTCCCAAGAGGCCACCCAGGGGCTCCCTAGCAGCCTAGCACAAAGGGCATCCAGATTTAAATTCTTATTCATCCTCAAGGAGGAGGGAAGCTGCTGGAGTCTTTTAGGACACTCAGCAACAGCCTTGACCACCAACTGCAGGGCGCTGCTGCTGACTTGAGCTTTCTCCCACACCTCCACCAGCACATCAGTGATACAATGCCATGAGTGACACTCTCCCTGCTGAGAGCACGGGGCAATCATGACACTTACCTCGGGCATGAAAAATGGGTCATTTTGGACGAGGAGCACTGCTAGTTGCTCTTGGTTTAGTCCAGACAGTTCGTGATTTTTGAGGACCCGGAAATTGTCTTCTGAGAGAACCTCATGAGAATACTTGCATACATTCCTAGAAGAAAAAGTTACCATTGACATGTTTCTGCTTCACAGAGGAAAACAAAATCGTCCATAAAATGTTCACTCATCAAAAGTCAATACCATACCCCTGGGTCACTCATACAGGTTGGGCCTGCTCAAAGAGTACAACTGTTTTGTTTTGAGACAGGGTCTCACTGTGTGTTTCGGACTGGCCTTAAATTCACAGTGTAGCCCAGGCTGGCCTCAAACTCGTGGCAATCCTCTTGCTTCAGCCTCCTGAGTGCTGGGATCACAGGTGCGCACCTCCATGCCTGGCCCCAAGAATACAAATTAGAAAGATACATTTAAGACTGATGTGAGGGGCTGGGGATTTAGCTCAGCGGCAAAAGCGCCTGCCTGGCAAGCACAAGGTCGTGAGTTCGGTTCCCAGTACCGGAGAAAAACCAAAAAAAAAAAAAAAATAGTAAGACTGATGTGAGTGAGTACTCCTAGGGCCAGGCCTAGTAAACACCTGAATGAATGAATGAATATAAAGCATAGAAAAGGAAAAAAAAGTTGCATTTATAGAGCAGATAGATCAAGATAGGGATGTATTTTCTTCACAAATTATATACGTATATATCCACAGCTGACTTTAATTATTGCAATACTTCTTTGAACATTATCTCCCCAAAATCCATTATCATTTGTGTATAGCTCAGAAAGATAAAAAGAAAAAAAGAAACCAAAACCAATCTACCTGTCTTAGAAATGACTGCCCATTGAGAAATTAAAGTCAGTAAGACAATTCCCTTACCCAACATTTTAATTACACAAAATTATTCATTGCCATATCTCCTCTGAGTTATATACCAATGTACACCCGTATACCTGTGACTATAAAGAAATGAAAACAGACTCTTAATTGTATATCCAAACTACAGAAAAAGATGGAAAACCTCCTCTATTTTAGGACTTTAATGATTTACGTTAACACTGTCCAACAGAATTTTCTGTGATGATGGAATCATTCTATATAATTTGAGCTTTCAGAGAGGGAGAGAAAGGGATATAAAAAGAATTAAGGTGTGTCAGGTACACGCACCAACTCACAATGAATGTAATCATTATGTACTGCAAACATGGACTAATATACATTTTTCTTAAGATCTTCCTTTCAGCTTCCCTCACAATCACCTCTTATGCCATAAGCTTTTTCTTAGAAAATTAAAAGAGAGAGCCGGGAGTGGTGGTTCATGCCTGTAATCCCAGCACTCAGGAGGCTGAGGCAGGAGGATCAACATGAGTTTGAGGCCAACCTGGGCTGCTACATAGTGAGTTCAAGGCCAATCTGAACTGCATAGCAAGAACCTGTCTCAAAAAAAAAAAGAAAAGAAAATTGAAAGAGATTTATTTATTTGTTTGTTTGTTTGTTTGTTTGAGACAGAGTCTTGCTATGTAGTTCAGGATGTAGTTCAGAAATCTTATTAGAGGTTGTCAGTTTTCCAAAATGGAAACCATATATGGCAACTGAATACTTGATTTATCACTTTGAAGTCTGAGGAGGATTGATTTAGCTTGAGAAACCCTGATAGCTGTTATTAACGTCAACATAGCACAATCACTTTACTCTTTAACTCACATACCTACATATGATATCACCAAAGTCCTTGGGTTTAACAATTATTAATATGATGGCGGGGCTGGGGATTTAGCTCAGCGGCAAAAGCGCCTGCCTGGCAAGCGCAAGGTCGTGAGTTTGGTTCCTGGTACCGGAGAAAAACCAAAAAAAAAAAAAAAAAAATATGATGGCATATTAATTTGTTCTAGCTGCACTATCATTGTCAAATTGTCAGGCAGGCTAATGGCCAGGTTTTCACAACATAAATACTGTGACTACAATGGTCTTGGTACAGTAACCTTTCTCCTTTTACATTATTTTCCTGCGATTTATTCGCTTGGCAATATTGCTTCAAAGGACACAGTCATTTTCTTGGCAGCTTGTGTTTCATTTTGACCCACTGCACATACCAGCAATCTAGGAGTGTGTCTGTTTCCCTACCAGCACATTAAGACTGAGTTTTGTCACTTTTGCTACTTCAGTAAGTAAAGCTTATGCTTTTATTAATTCACATTTCTATTATTAGCAAGAAGGAAATATCCCCTGATCTTTTTTTTTAAGTATATATTACTATTTATTTACATCCTTTATTTATCTAGCCAGGCATGGTGATGCATGCTTATAATCCCAGTACTGGAGGCTGAGGCAGAAGGATCTCCACGAATTTAAGGCCAGTGTGGGCTACATAGTGAGTTAAAGGTGAACCTGAACTACATAGCAAGACCTTGTCTCAAAACAAACAGACGCAATAACTAAACCGGGCATGGTGGTGCAAGCCTGGAATCCCAGCACTCAGGAGGCTGAGGCAGGAGGATCTTTGTGAGTTTGAAACCAGCCTGGGCTACAAAGTGAGTTCAAGGCCAGCCTGAACTGTATAGTGAAACACTGTCTCAAACAGACACACACACACAAAAACTATCTAATGGAGAAAATATATTAACCTACAGACTTGTAGTTGTTCTTTATATTTTCTTAAATATTAATCTTTATCAGCCTTATTTATTACAAACAATTTCACATTTTTTCCTTTTTTGAAGTCAAGAATTGATCAAGTTTGTTGTTGCTGAATATTTGTATGTTCAGCACCTTACAATTTAGGTACTATTTATTTATTTTTAATTTTTAATTTTTTTTTTTTTTTTTTTTTTTTTTTTTTTTTTTTTTGGTACCGGAAATTGAACTCAGGACCTTAATCCTTGCCAGACAGGTGCTTATGCTGCTGAGCCATATCCCTGGCCCCTAGGTACTATTTAATACATGCAAAATTAATTCATCCTCCACAGCTAGATAACTATCATATGCCATTCTGTCTCCCTTCAAGAGTTATTTTCAGCCCTAATTCTTTAAAACCTCTGAAGCTCACAATGATAAATGATGTCAAAGGGGAACAGAAGTGTTTTATGTCAATCTTTCTCAATTACAATGATTAAATATGATTCCTTTCTTATTATTTTGTATTCTAGATAATTGTACATTAACTTTTTACCAAGTTTACAACTATCAGGATCCCTACTGTTTTTTATCAAACTATTTTGCTTTAAATCCAACACCATATAATTTAAATGTCCTTTATGTCACATTTTAAATATTAACAGTAATTTATAAGATATCATATCATAAAGGCTTATACCTTTCCAAAAAACTCTTTAGTGTACTTAACTATGATTTTCTCCATAGAAATCTTATTAGAGGTTGTCAGTTGCCACAAAGTAACATAACAATCATTTTATTTCTGTTAAATCCATAATTACATTGTATACTAACTAGGCATCATCCTAACTATGTTAAATCTTCTGCTTCTTTCCATTTATTCAAACTTTGTTTTGTTTCTCTTGTTTTCGATTAAAATTATTCTTTTAATAGTTAGCTTTCAGTTCCCAAATATAAAATATTATCCACTGCTAGTATTATCTTTCAGTTGTTCGCCACTGGTATACAGAAATGCAAAATGATTTTGTTGAAATTATGGAATTTGCAAAAATGTAAACATCTAGGCAAAAATGATTCTCTAAGAATTAATCTTTAAAAGCCGCTTATACAAACGTTATTGCCTGTGTGTAAACTGTATCTGAAACCCTCAGGAAGTGTCTTCAAACTTCTCAGAAGAATCTCTTAAGAGAGGTCAAGGGCAGCTGCTCCAGCTGGAGGACAACCTCGGTCCTAGCCACCCCCCAGGCGGGTCCTCTTCTCCCGTTCTCTGCCAGTGACCCTGGCTTTCTGGTGTCTCTGGCCACCTTGATAAGCCTGGCCTCACCTCTCTTCCTTTCAGGTTCTGCTCTGTGGTTTCAGACACTGCTCGCACCGGTCTCCACCATCCAGAATCTTCAGCAGCTGGAGGACGGCCCCCTCTTGCTCACCCCCCAGCCCCAGGGAGAGGGGTCGGAAGAGACTCCGACAGTGGGAAAGGCCCTCGAAAGTAACCCTCTCCAGGGTAGCCCAAAGCGGAATCCGCCCCCCCCACATGGCGTGACCAGATGTGTAGGAGCCGCATTTCCCATGAGGCATCACTCTCGCTTCATGGCCACTGCCATTAATGTTCTCATTGATACCGATCTGAAAATGACCTCCCTGAAACACCGCACCCCGACAGCTTCTGCCCTCGGCTCATCTTTGCTTTTCCCTTGGCTCCTGTTCATACACCCTGGATTTGGAGCCAAGCCAACCCCAAGTAGCAAGGCTTCCCCAAGCCCAACCAAGGTGCTCGAGCCCAGAGGAGCGGTGCTGGCTGGGTCCTTACTGCCTATCTGACAGCCTTCTCATTTCTCATCTCGGCTCTCAGGCAAACTACGAACTCCTCCACAATTTATGATGCTCATGTTGCGGAATCCACAAGGTCCGCCTCTATCCATCTTTGGCCTGGCCCTGCCCTCACCCTCCCCGTCACTCCACAGACCTCCTTCGGCAGCTTCTTAAAGGTCAGCCTCTCCACCCTCATTTCAGCACACTGATCAGTAGCAAAGGCAGGGTGCTCTGTGCTCAGCTTCTCTGTGGTTGGAAGTACAGAAACTAATGCTACACATTTATGGAGTGACAGGAACTTTACAGCTGTTACTTCCCTCAGTAGTCACAATATTCTTACTTTGGGAAACTGAGGCCCAATAAAATGAAACTTCAAAGGTAACTCAGATAAGAGGAAGATCTGCTCCCTGAATCCAGATCTCCACAAATAAGGAAAAACAAAACAACAAAAAAAAAAACACCTAATCTGGAAAACTAACCCAAAACAAGCAGATCTGAGACTTTTCCAAACCAAAAAGAAGAAAAATGCCATTGTGGATTACTGAAGCCACTGTTCCCCATTACTGAATGAAAAATTGACATCAGAGTAGCAGCAGTGTAAAGGGGCATAAATCATACACGCAGTGCGGTGGAGAGGCTAAACCGATCGAAAGTATTTGTGATGGTCATTGCAGACGATCAGCTGATAAAAA